TCTCTCTTCTTGTTGGTCACTGTGTCCGCCTTGTCTCCCTTCTCTCTCCTTTTGCCCTTCTTGTCTCCCTTCTTGTTGGTCACTGTGTCCGCCTTGTCTCCCTTCTGTCTCCGTTTGTCTCCCTTCTTGTCTCCCTTCTGTCTCCTTTTGCCTCCCTTCTTGTCTCCGGTCTTGTCTCCCTTCTTGTTGGTCACTGTGTGCGCCTTGTCTCCCTTCTGTCTCCTTTTGTCTCCCTTCTTGTCTCCCTTCTTGTTGGTCACTGTGTCCGCCTTATCTCCCTTCTGTCTCCCTTGTCTCGGGTCGTGTCTCCCTTCCTGTTGGTCACTAGACGACACGGTGGCCCGAAAGCATGGTAGGAGTAAGCATTATAACGAAAGGGTTGCAAACGAAAACGAAACTGAGGGATGAACCGTTTGGCCGTAACATGTATGGTAACATTTTTTGGGGGTAGCAATGTATCACAAAGGTTGGAACCAGACCATGACTAAATAGTGGTCCATTGCCAGACATGCATGTCGGTGCAATGTACGTGGATCTCTTTTTGGGTTCCTCATTGCGCGACCTTTGCTTCTACGCCATCGGCATCCATCGGCCATGTCCCGGACAGCTTCCGTTGACATGGCCTGGCGTCTGGACCTCACAGCCACGCGGCGGACAACTTCACAGTCTGAGTCTAGCCACAGAGCATAGACAGAACCGCTAATGTCAATCAGCGACTGCCATGGATGCTTTTTTGCTTTGTTGGAAGTCGCTGCGCCATGTCGAGCGTAGCTCGTACAAAGATCGCAGCGCCCACAAAACGTAAGCGCGATTGCGCCACGGCCTCAAACTGGGACGCGCAGAGCAGGTGCATCAGAGCCTCTTCCACAGTCAAGTCGTGCCGCAGAATGAGCCACGCACACAACGCAGCAGAGCTTCGGTTGATGCCACCAAAGCAGTGAAAGAGCGGGACAAAGGGCTTGCCCAGAACCTCATAGTTCACCGCCTCAGCCCACAGTCGTTGCAGACCAGGTTTCCACACGGTCAAACAAGCGGCGGCGTATTGCTGCATGCGGGGCATCTCGCGCGCCATGCGCTTGATTGTTGGATTTTCTATGTGCAAATTGACATGCTGCATCCGCAAGTACTCGCTGAGGCTCATGGGCATGCCACGCACCGGCAACTCTTGCCCGCAGAGCGTGACCACGTGCGTCACTTTCAATTGCTGTGACATGTCCACCTCATCCAAGGAGATAGCTGCCTTGATGCTTCCAAGCATTGTCACAGTGCCGTTGCGGCAGATGCAAGAAGCATCCACAGGCCAGTCTGTGATATCGCCCATGTTGTAATTGTGCTTGTGGGTCTGCCAATCGATTTCCCACCACTGCGCAGTTTTGTATGCACTCACAATTTGATCGTCCTGGCAAGTCCCGACCCAATCAGCAACCTGCCTCAGCGCTCCACGGAAGCAGCATGCCATTCGACATGGCCATCAGAATTCAACTCCACGGTTTTTATTTGTGCGATCGCAATGCCCCTGAAACACCAAAAGTATCGAAGCATGGTCGAAGCATTGTCGTTTCACATTTGGTCGCATTTTGGATGCCACCAAGCTGATTCCCACGATGGGTGAGTCTTCTAGAAGCATTGTTTTGTTTGTTTTATTTGTTTGTTTGTGTTGTTTTTGCTTTAAACGCCATACTTTCGCAGTGGACTCCTAGTTTCCGAATCAAGGCCATCAGAAGTTCTCACCAAACTGTACAACAAGCTTCGGGCCATCCAGACTGGTGATGAACCTGACCCACATGGTTGGATGCGTGAGGTGGCGTAGTCACACGTAGTCGCCTAAAGGCCCCTGGGGCCTAGGCGGCCTAGCTCCTATCCAGGTGGCTTGGTGACCTTGGCCACCAAGTTGAAAGTGTTTTGTTCAAGACAAGTTTCCAATAGTGCTGTGCTGGAAGTGTTAGCAAAAATAAATATCATTATTGGACTGTGTTTTTTTCTCCTAGCTGGAAGTCATGAAGCGGCGCTCTGGTCCAGAAGCCAGTCGACTTTGCTGGCCCTTGCATCGTGACGGCATGGCAAACTGTTTGCACATGACCTTTCAACCACCTACATGTCGGTTGTGCATTAGTGCAGCGGGTTTTCCTTCAACTGGTGGTATCAGTACCATTTGACTGGTGAGGTTGGTGCAAGGACACAGCAAAATTCTGCAGTCGTGGATGGAAAAGAGATTAGGGCGAACAAGTCAGCAACCAGCGCCGCAGCCCAAAGCAACCAGCCAAGAAAAAAGGATGGCCTCATGACCAATGTCTCATGACAAACCTTTGATATGCTTCAGAAGCAGCGGAATTGAGCTAGACATAGGATCTATTGTACTGTAATAAGATTGGAGGTGTAGCCTCGGGTTTGTACCACAGTGTTCCATGGTTCTTGCAATGCCAAGGAAACCTCGCCTCGGGCATTCGGGCTTTCTCTTTATTTATTCCAGAGGAATCTTGGCAAAACATGCACCACACGATTCTGGGCGGGAAAGCAGAAGAGTGGATGGCCAGCTACAGTGTGATGATTGGATGTCAATGAATGTGCACCTTGAGCGGTTGAGCGACAATCGCTTTGACTTGAGGAAGTCGTAAAGAGAATCATTTATGGGGAGCCGCGGTCAATCCGGCCGCATGTGGACAGCCGCAATGCTTCTTGGTTGGATCTGCACAACATTCCAACCGTAGATTGTTTTGAGCAACCAAGAGTTGGAGGCAGGCAGCGTGGGCACATCCCTAGCTTCCTTTCAACCCTCATAAGCCGCGTTCGCCGGTCTGTGCACAAATCATAGTCTTTTTCTTGTTCCAATCTTCTTAGCTCCACCGAACTGGATGGTTGTTCTAGGCCATTGGTGACCATTGGTGATTGCAAGGAGTGCCTATAAGCTACTACTGTAAGTTGATTATTAGCATACTTGCATGTTATACTTGGAGGCACTTGGAATGGCGTTCGGTAGTTCGATAGCGAAAGTGCACAGCCAGAAACTTTCGCAAGGTGAGGTGCATTAGTTTTGGCGGTGCTGCAGTGAACATAAGAATACTGATCTGGAAGGGGTGCCACAAAAGAACGACAATGGATGCGGGAAAGTCCGCTCTTTCTTGAGGAATAGCATGGGATCACACTCTGGACGATGACAGCCAGATCCATCCATTGTTCGATTTCTTTTTGTGGATCGTGCCCTTGACAACAAAAAGCAGAAACAGAGATCAAGAAATTCACTGAAACTTTGCACTATATATATATACTCCTGTAAGTATGTTTAGTAATCCGGAAAGCCGAACTGTTCTAAATGGCTCTTTGCGTGCTCACAATCTCAGGTCAACCATGAACGCTGGCACCGAAGTCAGCGGGACAAAATTAAATTCAAGGCTTCCTGCTCAAATGGGCCTAAACCATCGAGCACATCACGAAGCACACAGCTGGCACATGGCCGACACGGCCTCCAACCGTTTGACCTTCCCGGGAGTAGTTACGGGCTATACACACACACACGTGTATATATATATATTTATTTTTTTGGGGGGGATCATTTTGGATTGCCATGATGCGTTTCAACGTCAACTTGTCCAACACATGATGTCCACCGCAAAGGGTTCTTTAGGTTTCGAAGGCGAGGTCTATAAGCATGTATATAGCTCGATTTTTGTTAGTGCTATCCGACCGGACTGCTCAAGCTTAGAGCTGACGAGAGTGTTTGTGACCGAGGTTACAGTCATGTTCACAGGAATCCGTGACATCATAAGAATGTCACTGAATGAAGAGCAGATGCTGAGTGTGATCACAAGGTGCGCAGACCCAGGAGTGTGTTCAATTTGTAACAGCACCAGAGCACCGTGCAGCAAACCCTTCTCATTTTGCGCAGACTGGCAGTTGCAAGGTTCCACAAGATCATGACATCAATCGTGGAGCAGTACGAGGGCACGGTTGGAAACGCGGCATGAACCAAATTACTTACTTGAGTTGCGTGCCAACCCCGAGAGTTCCACATGATGTGCTTGCCCGAGAAACGTGCTTCACGTACTTTACTTTTGCGTGCTGCTCAGGAGAGATTTTGGACGAAGGCCTGTTGGTCTACTTCAATGCCCCAAGACACTCGGAAAAGCAATCAGACCATAATGTTGTCCTATCATAGCGTGAATTCTTTGCGATGAGTTCAACCGTGCCCAAGTTATACCAAGCTATGTTTTCTAAGACAGGTTTTGGCCACTCAGGATTGGTCACAGATCATGCGTCCAGAGCCTGTGAAGCTGGACTTGCTCAGCGTCAGGTGCCGTGGCACTGCACATGTAATCACTGGACGTGTATGTTTCCGTTCATGCTTCGGGTCGTACATGCAAAGGTTGTCATCAGAATTGCCAGGATGACTCGAGCCGCTCCGTACCTGCCAGTGTAATTGTGCAAATCATCAATAAAGCTTTGCAGCCACGGGGTGCATGTTCCCCAGCATGTATTGAGCATGACTTGACGATGCAACATGCCCAAAGGCCATGAACACCTTGCGGCAAGAGCTGGTGGATGATGGCTGGCTAGACCCTTCAGGCCCTCGCTTGTCCGTGGGTTCGCGACATTTTTCCTGTTTCAACCAAAGCTCACGGCCCTGCTGATATCTTTGTCCGACTATCCTTGCTCGGGGAACTGTCAATTCGTGCTGGTTGACTCTGATATGTACTTGTTCTTTTTTGTCAACGCTCAGACGCCTTCCTGCGCCTGGGCGTGGGCATCCACACCGGGAACGTCTTGGTCGGATGCATTGGCAGCACAATGAAGATGAAGCGCCTTGTCACTGCAAAACTAGCAGGGAATGCATCACAGAAGGGGCACGCCGCACAACACAAGTTACAAAAAAGATTCCGAAGCAGTGACACATGGCCAAGACACGCGGCCACGCAAACAGACCAGACCTGTACGAAGTATCGCGGTTGTTTTACAAGGGAGCACGTTGAAGTAGGGTTCCATTTTCTTGTAAAATTTTTGGGTCGAGTTGCGGCGTTTGATTGTCTTCGAGTCGGTATGGGTAGCGGACAGATAGCCGGTACGGATCCTTGTTCCCGCAGTTTGCCCGGAAGAAGGTTTGGCTGCATCGGCGACGCCATGAATTTGACAAGTCGATTGCAAGGCTGGTGTCTTTGACAAGCAGACAGGCTAAAATACATTGCACTAAAGTTTTGACTCCAGGCCTTTGCAAGTTCTATGATGTGGATGTCATGTGTTCTGAAGAGACCTGGATGGCAACGACATCCTTGGTCTGCCGAAAGGTTGACCACTTGCAAGCAGCTTGGCAGCGGTTGATGTGTGCAGGGGCTTGCATTCAGTCATAGTGGGACCTGCATCGTTGAAGGCACCCCAACACCACTCGTGTCATCCTAACACTAGGTTGGAGGCCATCGCTTCTAGGTTGGAGGCCATCCCTATTACTGTAGGTTGGAGGCCATTGCTATTAGGGTGGAGGTCATTGCCATTAGGTCGGAGGCCATGGCTGTTAGGTTCCTTAAAGTGTGTGGAGATGAACTGTCTCAGGTCAAGGGCCGTCAAGAGACTACAGCTGTCTATGAAGTCATGGGCCATGATACTCTCGAGGGGGCGGGTGCCCTTACACCAGCCCAAACGCCGACACCGGCCGCAGCATTTGGGAAGTCGTTGCCAGCCAGTCCACGCAATGATGACTCCCCGCCCATCAGCCCAGCACAGATGATTGGGAAGCCCAATGCCTTGACACTTCCAATACCTTCTTCAGGCCGTGAGCGGAAGAAAGGCCCTCCAAAGTTCCTGCCGCCGGAGACGCACAGCCCCTCGCTGCTAAATCCGATCTCCAGAAGCCCACGGAGAGGCAACATTCCGGATGTGATTGGTCGCCAGACATCATTGAGCCCAGAACGCACCACTCCAGGGGCTATAGGGGACCGAACCAATCGAACATATTGCGGAGGAGGGACTAGCACAGCAGCTTCGGCTTCTTACTATCCATCCCCATCACCAGAATCTGCAGGGTCAGAAGAAGGCCGGGGGCTCAGGGCCTGCATTCTCATGTTGACATCAAAAGTGCCTGGCGTTTGCGACAGACTGTTTGTCTTTCTTTTGCGGTTTTTAAACAGATTTTAAACCGCGTGACAACCTGGGCACTAGTTCTTTCGCACGCTTGTTTTTGGCTGACAGAGTTTCGCCAGGCCGCCATTACGCTGTGTTCAACCAATTTCATTCCTCAACTGAGTCAGACTATTCTCAAAGCTTAGGATCGAGGTATCTTCCGACATCGCGAGGCTGGACGGCTGCATTTTTGTTCTGGCTTCGGCCTTGAGAGTGTGGTTTGTACTATTTGCGATCTAAGCACGGCGACACACACACACTTAGATCATGGCTCGCAAGTGCGATATCAGTTGGTGAAATTCCGGATTACCGCAAGTAGACCTTTACACTCAATTAGACCTTGACTTGAATCAACTGCAGGAAGTGCTGGGTCGGTCAAACAGAAGGTTTCAACAAAACGCTTTAGCACTTTAGGAATAAATAAACTTCTGGCAGGTACACTAGAAGGCGTTCCTTCTCGCTTCACCAGTTCTGAGTCCGTCTTCGTTGGTCCAGGGACAACTCGCAACTGCCTGGACCCCCTGCTTAGTGTACATGGAGCGTCAGTGCTTGAACTATGGGCAATTGCTATGTGGTCTTTTTCCTTTGGCACAGGAGTTGGCACACACAAGAGGCCGAGACCGGCGCACACTGAAAATTATGGGGTGCGTCCAAACATGGTTCAAGGCCGTGGGGCAGGTGGCATGGGTAACGGCACATGACCAACGGGCACACAAGAACAAGCCAAGTAAGATAGATGTCCGCTTGCGGTACGAAGCTCAAAAGTTTCAACTTTCCTCGGACCAGGCGGTAGCAATCACGCAGGTCGTGCCCTTTTTGGGCATCAGCTGGGCTAATTGAGCAAGCGCTCGCTCAATGGCTGAAGGTGGAAAGGTGTAGTTGCGGATGGGGTGGGCGCGGGACACAAGGCTGGAGAGACGTAGCCGTTGAGATCCTGCGGATGCGTGGTCTCTGATCTTCCAGTTGGCTGTTGGCGGTATGTAGGTGATGTTGCGTTGGTGGGGATCCACGTCGAAGCTCAAGAGGTGCATATCCTCGACGGGTTCTAGTTCAATGGGGTTGCCGAAGAAATCTGGGTGGATCAGGGCTTGTATGCCGATGTGGTTCAGGAAAGTGTCGTTGAATGTAATGAAGCGGGTGTCCACATACCGATAGTATGCGAAATGGATCCTGAGTCTGGTCGGTAAGGCTGTGATGTAGCTGCGCCCAAGAGTGTTCGATGAGCGTGATGGCGACATTTCACAGAGCTGGTGATAATTGGGAGCCAATACCAGCTCCACGTATTTGTTTGAAGAAGGTGCCGCATGCTTGGAAAATGCATTTGTCTAGTGCAATTGCGGACAATGTGTGGAATATTTTGTGTCGGTTGCGACGGTGGTGCTGGGCAATGTGAGACAGTTGTAGGGGTTTGCCTGTGGCATGGATGTCGACGGTGAGGGTGGATGTGTCGAAGGTGATGTTCCACTTGGCCGTGAGGCTGTTCACCGCGTCGATGAGGCAGCCTTGAGGCACTGAGTTGAAGAATCCGACGAGGTCGTCGTTTGTGGCGCGCAACCTGATGTGCGGTGGGGTGTCGGTGAGGTATTATTTGGTGAAAGTGGCGCCAAAGCTGGGGTATAGAAAATTGAGAAGGAGCTTGAGGAAAAAGCTTCAAGATCATCGTGTTAATGGCTGTGGAGGTTGTGCGCAGTAGGATGCCGTGAAAGGCGCGGCCTTTGCTCCAGTGCTTCTTGGCCTTCAAATGGGCAATGCCTATAGGGCATGTTAGCTTTGGAGCGAAGCCTCCACCGGTATTTGCGTCGGAGAGTGCCGGGGTAAGCCTGGACAGTGTGGTGATGCAGTGGGGTGAAAAGTTCTGGTGAGTGCCAGGTGGCCATGCGTCCCCGGAAGTATAAGCGGGAACAGAAGATGCGGAGATGTTGCAACTCCTGGTCGGCGTGGTGTAGCACCACTGTGTCGCCTAATGGGTGCTGTAATTGTTTGACGGAACGAGCTGTAAAGCGCGGTTCCTTGTGGAGATGTTGGATGTGGAGGTGCCATTGCGTTGTGATGAAAGTGGGAGCATGGTGGGTCAGCATGGGTGGAAATCCGTGGCACCGGCGCCATTTGGTGATGGCCTTGAGGAAGGTGTCAATGTATAAATTTTGCTTGGTGGGAAAGAAGGTGCTGTTCATGTTGGCGCCCAAGAGGTGACGACGAAGGTGACGATCAGGTGACCCTCGACAAGTGGTTTGAGTGTTGCGAAGTTGCGGAGGAGAGTGCGGAGATGGGTGCAGCCGCAGGGAAGCTGATCCTCGTGCGGAGGAGAGTGGAAAACTCGTTCCCAGCAACAATGGTTGTGGAGCTGGCTGCGGAGAGTGGTGTGGGCTGCTTCACGAAGTTTGCAAGTAGGTAAGTGGAAAGGAATGCCGCGCTGTTTGTGTTGACGTACGACTTACGATGGAGGTTAGCCTTTGGGTGTTGGGTTGGAAGGTCTCATGTGCCAAAAACGGAATGGTGAGTGGCTGGTTAGTTTTGGGTGGTGTCAAATTGTGGAATTTGAGCGCCTCGTTGAGGATGTGAATTGCTTTGCTGCGGCCGGGCTCTTCGAGGCTGGAGGCCATGCGGCGGATGGCGTAAGTTTTCCAGGTCGGAAAAATGACTGGCCAATCGTGGGTAGAAATGTGCTCGGTGACGGGCAGATTGCCACCCGTCAGCCTTCAGGCGCAAATTTTTGAGATATGAAACGCCAATTGAGCGTGGGTTGCCATTTTGAAATGTATAGGTGTTCATGTATCCAAGCCGCATCATAGTCAGTGTAGGTGGAGAGGTGAATAGTAGAGTAGTGAGTGAAGGTGCCGGTGGAGTGCCAATAGCGGAGTGAGAGTTAGGCTGAAATGGGATTTCAATGTGGTTGGCAAGTTGTCTGAGCTTGGCTCGTCTGTTGTGTTCCCGTTGAGGGACAGTACTGTGGAGCCCACTTAGGCGTGTCCGATCTGGTGGTATATGTGGCGTGTCGCATGTGGGTTGAAGTGGAGCTTGAGGTAGACTGAGTTGGGTGCGGTGAAGCATGTAGAAGTGTAGTTGTGTGGGTGGATGCGGAGTTGTTGGAAACGTTGTTTCCATGGCCGTGATCGGTGTGTATTGGAAGGACACGCAAAGAGTGCGGTGATGTGAAGGAGGCTGAGGGCAAACATAGCTTCCGCTCGGTCAATGTAGGTTGCGTGGTGGATGAGGTGTCAAAGCGCGGATGCGTTGTAGGTTGCGATGTGATGGGGCCTGCAAGGCCAGAATGGCGAGTCAGCAGACCATGGCGGCGCCAACGGCAACGAGCTGCTGGAGGCTTTTGAGGGGAAGCTTCTGGGCTTTGGCAAGGGGAATGCCATACTTGATGGCTGCCTCCTGGAGTTGCTGCTGGGTTGTGCCGGATTTTTGAATCAAAGCAATGATTTCCTGGGCAGGCCTGTCTCTCCTCGTTAAATTGTTTCATCCATGTGGCAATGTTGGGTTGAGCCCGCTTAGTCACTTAGTGGGGATGTCGTCCTTGAGGGACGGGTGAGTGGGTTGAAGGACCTGAGCGATGGTGGTAGGCTGAGGTGTTGTTGGTGCCGAGTGCTGGGGCAGTGGATGGTGCGGAAGGTCGGACTGAGAGTGCACTGCTGCGGCGTGAGGTCGGTTTGGTGGGTCGATGCAATGCGCTTGGAGTTTAGCGCAAGCTCGCTGGAGTTCCTCAGTTCCTCCTCCTTGGAATGGGCGGCGGATGGAGGCGTCTGAGGCGGTGCTGCCGGGTTCCTAACTGTGGGAGAATTTGGGATTGGTGGTGAGAGGAGCGGTGTTGACTGTGACGTCGATGATGGTGGCGGCGAGGTTCCACAGGAGCTGAGGTGTAGCAGGGGCCGAAGCGGTTGGCGCTGCGTCCGCGTTGGGGGGAGGAGGGGGTGGCTGTGTCGGGGGGGGGGGGGGGCAGCAGCTGGCCGGCACCCCCCGGTTGCCAAAAAGGTTGTGTGGTGGACAGGGGGAAAAGGCATGTGGATGCTGTGTGACAGGTTGTGGTGTCGGAACAGGATGGTGGACAGGAGGTGGATATGGCCAGGGAAACTGCATTGGTGCGGCGCTGTTGTTGTTTGCAGCAGCTGCAGGCAGCAGCGCGCCAGCTCAGCTGCTCGCAAACGTCAGTGTAGCTGTGGCCGCTATCAATGAGCAGGCGGGCGACGTAAGCGTGTTGTGGAGTGTTGGGTGTGCCGAATTGGTCTGCGTGGTAATCAAGCCCAATTTGAAGTTGGTCGTGAGCTGGCTTGCTGGTGAAGTGGGGTGGTTCCTTCCAAGTGTTGAGGACCTGGATGGTTGGGGTAGGCTGTGGTTGCAGCTGTGGCATGGTCACGGTCTGTAAGTTCGGTATATTGGAGCGTAATGTAATGGGTTGTCTGTTAGAGCGAGAGCGGCTGCGGGAGGAAGAAGAGGAGTACGATGTGGACGGATCTCGGTGCGATGCTGAATTGGTGTATGAGTGGCGAGAACCATGCTGATGCTGCTTGTCGGAGCTCGGAGCGACCTCTGCGATGATGTCGGCGGTGGCGGCGGCGGGCATGGTGGCAGCGGCGGCGGCGCCTGCGGTGAGGTTGCTGGGGTGGCGGGAGGTGCGCTCTCCTTGGTGGTAGCAGCTGTAGTGGCATGGTCGGGGGCGATCGGTGGAGGGGGCGGTGGTAGGTGTTGCTTGTGGTGCTTTGGTGTCGGTAGTGTTGGGAGCGGAGGCGGTCTGCTGAGAGGTAGATGGCTGAGTGGTCTTGCTCTGGGTCGGGTCAGTGGAGGTTGGTTGACTTTGGTGGTCGTTTCTTGGCTAGTGGGATGGGTGGGGTCCGCGCCTGTGGGCCCGAACCCCTGAGCGGTGGTAGGAGGTTTGGATGCGTTTACAGGTGGAAAGGCTGAAAAAGGATGTGACTGCCAAACTCCTTGTTGAGGATCCCACGTGAGCGTAGCAGGTTGCTGGGCGGTGGCAGGTGCTGGAGCTGAGGGGGTTGGAGGTGGCTGTGGATGTGGAGGAGCGGTGGCTGTCGGTTGTGTGAGAGGTGGTTGAGGAACAGGATGAGGTTGAGGATGACAGAACTCTTGGGGTGGCATTGCTGTAGGATAGCTGTATGAAATGGGAAAGTGGGCGTCGGTTGCGGAATTGTTTGATGAAATGGGGCCGGTGGCGTTGGAAAGGTGGGGTGTGAAGGCCATGTGGGATGTTGCGTCATGGGAACAGGATGGCACGGTGTAGGTTGCGGTGGTAGTTGATGTGGAAATGGATGTGGAACAGGCATCGCCTGAGGTGGAGGTTGCGGTGTATATGGGTATGACCATGGAAAGTGCATACTGCTCAAAAGAATCAACGCGCTGTTGTCGGCAGCTGCAAGTATGGCGGCCGCGGCACGGTGAAGCGGCTGCAAGAGAGTCAAACAAATCACTCGTGATGGAAGTGCGTTGAACACATCAGAATGTGGCAAATTAAATCCAGTGGAGTGGAGAAAATTCTCGTGTACGAGAAAACTGAAGTTGGAAAAAGTAGCATGGAAAATTGGAACCTGAAAGGTACTGTCCTGGAAAGTTGAGAAGGCTGAAGTGGATGTCTCTTGAAACTTGAAAAGCTGTGGACCGAGTTTCCGTGTACCCGGCGGTGTGGAGTCTCCGTGGCTCGGCAGCATGTGCACCCAGTGGGACGACAGTTAACTCTGTTCCTCAGTGAAATGGACGATGGAAACGCAAGGTGGTGAAGTCAGCTCACTTGGAAAGTTTAACAAAGTGTTCACTTGTCTGCAGACGCGCGGCAGCTGAAAGCGGTTGAAGGAAAATGGTTTGGGGGGTAGTATCATGAAGAAAAACCATGGAACCAACGAACAGCGGCAGGGTGGACCATTGGTGTTATTGTTATTGCGCTCGACGCAGGTGCACAGTGAAGCACTGCTTCAGAACCAACCGATTGGACGAGCAGTAGCGGTGGTGACCCGTCCCCCTGCGTGCAAAGTGAAAGGACCAAACTCTTAGGGACAGGGGGTGGCACACTTAGACAATGGGTTTGCAGTTAACTCTGTTCCTCAGGAAAATGTACGATGGAAACGCAAGGTGGCTGAGTCCGCGGAGGTGAATGTTTCAACGTTGTTGGCAAATGCACTCAAAAGCGATCAGTGCGGCTGCAGGTCAGCGGCGGAAAAGTTTTTGGGAACTATCCTGGAAGGACCACGCAAACAAAACAAGAGTGGAACAGCTTGGTCAAACGTTGAGCGCAGGTACGTCGAAAGAGCGTCCTCTTTTGATATCCAGGTCCTAGTCTGAACCTGGAGCTTCGTTGGCTCACGCCAGGAACAGACCCGTGAGCTCCCTGCTTGCAAGGTGGAAAACAAACTCTTAGGGACAGAGTGTGACACACACACAGAGCGCCGATATCGGCGGTCTGGAGGAAATTACTAATCACCTAAAAAGCCTTAGAAAGAAAGAAAAGGAAGAAAAGACAGAAAGGGAAACGCGAGGGCAACAGAGAAAAATAGGTGTAGTTACGAGGCCCACTAGCTACGAAACCTGCTAGTTACTGAATGCTTAGCCGCATGAATTAAATGCGCTAGTTAGCGAGCGGGACATTAGTCTTAAACCGTTCGGGTAGCTAGAACTAGGACAGGAGAAACAGAAGGAAAAGGCACCGACACAAGTGTGTCGAGTACCATTTCCTTCTGTTACCCTAGATAGCGGGTGGGAGAAAAGCGCGAATTCGGGCGCAAGGTGGGTGTGTGTGTGGGTGTGTATGACACAAATATGTATGACCATGACCCGGCGGCGGTCGAAACTCCGTGAAACCCGGCGGTGTGAAAACTCCGTGGCTCGGCAGCTTGTGAATCTGAAAATTCATGGGTGAGACGTGTGATTCCAGAACCATAATCCAAAGCGTGCAGAACACGTGAAACAGGTTACACGGCAGTCCGGAATGGTCGCAGCGCCCCAGTGACGGGGAGCACACTCTGCACCCAGTCAGACGACAGAGCGGCGCACACTTAGACAATGGGTTTGCAGTTAACTCTGTTCCTCAGGAAAATGGACGATGGAAACGCAAGGTGGCTGAGTCCGCGGAGGTGAAATGTTTCAACATTGTTGGCAAATGCACTCAAAAGCGATCAGTGCGGCTGCAGGTCAGCGGTGGAAAAGGTTTTGGGATCTATCCTGCAAGGACCATGCAAACAAAGCAAGAGTGGAGCAGCTTGGTCAAACGTTGAGCGCAGGTACGTCGAAAGAGCGTCCTCTTTTGATATCCAGGTCCTAGTCTGAACCTGGAGCTTCGTTGGCTCACGCCAGGAACAGGCCCGTGAGCCCCCTGCTTGCAATACGAATGGACCAAACTCTGGCTCACACACACACACTCACATCTTGGCAATGCCAGCTGCAAATTTTCTAGTTCACAACTGTTTGTTTTTTTGGTGAACTTGACGTGCTCCACGGTGAACAGGTGGTCGCTCATGCCCAAGTTCCAGTCTGTCACCGACCTACTTTGATCAGGCTTGGCTTTTGGTTTGTTTTCGAGTTCTTCTTCTGTTTTTCCATTCCCGGTGTTTAAGGTGCCCACGGCGTCGAAAATTCTGTGATTATTTCTCCTTGCCCACCACACCTAAACTTCTGGCAGCCTTTGTGGCAACTGCGGCACTCAAGCTGACCCCCCGAACAAAAAGTTTGCGTGGCACGAACTGCGCTTACAAACTGCATGATGCACTAGGTCACTAGGCAATTTAGTTTATGCTAGTTACTTGGCTCGGTTGGAATTGCCGTTGCAGTGCTGGAATGCAACGCGGTCAGCGAACTCACACCGTGAAACTGCTGTCCGACAAGGTGACCGCAGAGCAGAAAGCCTTCAAAGCAGAGTGGCTTGTCTTTGTGGCGGTCGGGGTGGGAGGCTTTGGTCGTGACTTGCAAGGGCTGCCACCCAGTTGGCATTGCCCGAAAGCAAGTGCACTCATTCTTAATTCGCTGTTTGCAGCCGACTTGCGTGAAGATCATCCTTGGTAGAGTTGTCATGCAAAACATCATTGGAAAAAATTGGGCATGCTCCTTCACGTGGCTTTGTGCTTGCCAATTGGCGGACACGATGCTGACAACAACAGGGACAGCAGGATTCAAGAGTTTGTTCTCTGCAGACTCCAGATTGTGATAAACAAGGTACGAAGCCGCATTGGATGCGTACCAGCTCCTTGTCATCACAAAAACCATTTCAGCGATCAGAGAAACATGAAGTGCCGTTTGACTTTGACACCTGTCCCGTCCCAAGGAATTCTCGCTTCGATGACTGTGTCGAGATGTGTCGTGCACTTCTAAAATCCAAACCAGACGATAAAGCGACATTGAAGCTTATGCAGAAGGCGCTCGACAGAGGAGTGTGGTTTGGTTTTGACACCTTTTTGTGATTCGATTCGTGATGGCGTTTTTTTCTGACTAAGTCATGATGGAAACCAATTTGCGCATTCCATTTTGTGTTTGCCGCTGTAAGTGTGCATGTGTGGGGGGGAACTGCACACAAGCATCAAGCAGCACATTATCAGGTCCTTTGAAGCTTGACCCTTGTATAGGATGTCTAAGTAGTGCACCTCTCCCTTTCAGACCGGCTTTGGGATTTCGGCACGGATGTTGACTCAGCCATTTCCAGACGACAACAGCCCGAATTGTGCCTGGGCCAATCTCTCATTTGCAGTGGGGTCATATGAATTTAGCCCTGAACTCCTGAACTTTTCCCAAAACATCTATATAATTCATTAGGCCCAGGCTGGCTGATCCAAGGAAGCTCTCCGCGCCCTCAGGCAAAGGACCTTCCTTGAAGAAGCGTGAGCCCTTGGCTTCCCCTACTACTAGCTACTTAAGAAAAAACAGAAAAACCCATCCACACAGAGGCGCTGCTTCAATCGGGGTAGATTGAGGCGCTCGCCACATGGGAGGTCCTCAATGGCCTTTGCCGAGCAAGATTGATCGAGCTCGTCATATATGCCAAGAATGCAACACTCTTTTGGAACCTAATCGTCAGCATTTTATTGTGCACAAACTGTCGACATGTTGCATCCCTCAAACTTCTTTGAGCATGAGTCCTCTCAAGTTCTTGCGCCCAGATGCTTGGACTGCAAGGCAATGCTGGTTCAGGAGCTGGTAGCAAAATTGCTTCGGAATGTGCAAGTGCTCGATGGCGCCTGCTCGATGGCACGCAATGTTCGGGGAAAATTTGGTCACACAACCAGCTCACAGTGCCTCAATCAATGGTCAATAGCCACGCGTCCAGGCCACTTCTCCACACATACCAACTATTGTTCCCTTGTGTGCACTCTTTCACTCTGCTCCGGTCTGTGGATATTTGTGACCAACGACTGAGGACCGTTCTTTCTGTTTTTGGCCTTGGGCTGGCAACAGCTTATCAGGATTTGCAAAAAGTAGGAGCAACATACTAGACTACGCAAATGCCGTCAAACATCTTGCAATGCTGCACTTGTCATAAGCTTTGCAGTTTTCTCATTGCCCTTTGCTCAACCGTGTTGTTTGGGCCATTTTCGTTTTGGACATTATGACATTTCTTCAACTGATCAAATGGCAATTGCTTCTAGGAGTCATTACTTTTGGCGCGTGTCAAACAAGGTCACTCACTCATTTCTGGCACTGCGTCGTTTCTGTTTTCGAGGGAAATCGGGGGTAGGCCTGACTTTGGAACAGTGAAGCATCCGTTGGTTTTGTATCATTCTATTTTGTCCCTCCGTCAGATGGCCTTACTGGTCATCGCTCATTCAACTCTTTACTTTTGGGTTTCTACAGCGCCAGTGGCACTTTCAAAGCCCCTGGACGCGACCATCTTCCGTTCACGAGCGCCACAAACTCGCGCTTTTGCTTTCGCCAGTCTTTCAACTTGTGGACCTGTTTGAGACTGTGCACTTTCTTTTGCTTCCTAACAATGCCCATTTCTGGGCTCAAACCACTAACTTCCAAGCTCGCTTTTTCTCTTGACACAAAAAACTGCTCGATTTGACTTTGCCTTAAAATGTTCCGCTCTCATTTTTTCTTTTGACCATCCACGGCCTGAGTTCATTGGCCTTCTGAAGGCGGTTCCGCGGATTCGCCGGCAGCTTCTCAGAAATCGGCTCTGAGGAAGCAGCACTTGAACTCGCTCCCGCATGCTGCAAAATCAGAGAGGCTCTCACAGCACTCTTCGCCGCTTGATCAGCAGCTGCGGCAGCAGCCTTTGCACTCGCAGCTGCTCCAGCGGCTTCGCCCGTCCGACGCGAACTCGGTGGGGTGACAAACGCCGCACCGCGCCCTTTGCCAGAGCCACCCATGCCTACGTCCTCTTCTTTCAACCCTTTGTTTTCTCGTTGCTAATAAGAGTGGAAGGGAACGCAAGAAACGATGTCACCCGTTGAGGACAGGAGAGGGAACAGAATGCAGTCAGCGACCTTTGAGTTACTTGGGGGCTGTTAACTGGATGCAAAAGGGCCTTTGGAGGACAGGAAAGGGGGACGTGACAGGAAAAGAGGTCGGGAGTCGGGAGCTCGCCCAAAAAGTAAGAAGTGAGTCTCTCAGCCCTCTGTATTCTCGTGGCTAATAAGAGTGAAAGGGAACGCAAGAAAGAATGTGACCCGTAACAACAATAATCAGAACGGCTCCAGAACGGCAGGCCCTGGAAGTGCTTTTTACCGCTATTTTCAGTGATCTGGCGGTGCATTTTTGAGTACATTTCAAGGATCTACTGAGATTGATTCACAGCACCAGTGCTGCCAAGGACATCTCAACTGCTGTACTCTGATAAAATGCATAGGACTGTAAAAACAAAAACACAATCCTACTGGATGCTCGGGCTAACTTGTCTCGAATGGCGTGAACTTGTGCCAGATGAGGTGTGCCCTTGGGGGAAAGCTTGATTGGGCTACCTTTTTGTATGTATGTTGTTGATGATCGCAGGTTGAGACTTCGACCAAACCGCAAGGGCACACTACTGATTCTGTCTCAAGTTATTGTACTCCCAAGTGCGTCGTTGCGATTTCATGTTTTTGGCTTCACTATATTGTGACTAGGGCTTTTCCAACAGTCGTTGCGAAACGGTGTCCCCAAGCAGTTTTGTGTCTAGGAGTGTAGACGATCATTGCTTGGTCACTTCATACTGTGTAATTGTTTTTTTGGTGACTGGCGCTTGGAATACAACCAGCCTCAGGTTGCAATGGAATCGCAATGGAATGGTGTAGGTTTAGAAACAATCTAGGCTAGGAGAACAAGCGCTTGTTTCGAGGCGGTGTGCCATGGGGATTGGGAGAGGAAAACACGCAAGAATGAATAGATATGTTTGACGTTTACAGAACAATTCCATGCTGTTTGCACTCCATGTAGAAACTTAAAGCTGGTACCGACATGTGGGTCAGAATCGGTGTGCCATGGGATTGGATCATGGCAACCCACAGAAAACCTTAGAAACATCAACGTGTAGAAGATTGAATCGCAATGGAAAACTGTAGGTTTAGAAACTATCTAGGAGAAAAAGTGCTTGTTTCGAAGCAGTGTGCCATTGTGTTTTCCAAATGGGGTAAGTTCTTACATTCGTGGGGTAAGCGGTGTGCCATGGGGGTGGGTCAAGTTCATGTGCGATGGGTAAGTTACCACGTCGGGTCGTAGGACACTCTTTGGGAAGTAAACCAAAAAAAGAAGTAACAATACAACAAAAAAAATCCTGGGAGACCCCTTGGGGAGCAAACCAAAAATCCAATAAAACCAAAAAACAATCCTGACAGAGTCTTTGGACCCCCCCAGCCCAAGACCTCCCAGCAATTGTTTTTTTTTGGGGGGGGTTGTTGTTTTATTGTGTTTTTTTGGCTTGCTCCCCAGAGAGTCTCCTAGGATTGGCTTTGTTGGTTTGTTTTGTTTTTTGGGTTTACTCACCAAAGAGTCTCCTAGGTTGTTTTGTTTTTGGTTTTTGGAGACACACCCCAAGACAAGACTTCTGAAGAGTTGGTCATTTTTGTTTTTTGTGTTTTGACATCTCTATATAACTTATTCATCACATTCATCGATTTTTTATTACAGTTAGAGCATCTTGTAGCATTTCTGAATTCTAATTCTTCTTCTTCACTAATAACAATTGGTTTATTAACATTCATTTTTCAATGATATCAGATTTGATATTACCCAATTGTTCTATAAATTTATCAGTACAATCCTCACCCCTATACAGGTAAGGTGTGGATGTTTTGTCAACTCTATTCGCCGCATTCAACATATAACCGCAAGGTTTATGCTCTTGATATGTGCCCTTAATCTCACCAGAAGAAGTCACAGTCAGACATTCAAAATCTCCATAAATAACAAAAGGACATTCTAATTTGGTATTATACTTTTCAAACTCAATAAAGGAACCTTCAGGGGGTAGTTTGAATTGTGGTCCCGCAATTGCTAAACAAATCTTTTTTTTTATCATGTTCTTCCAAGTCCTCATTTTTACAAAAGGGATGAGAACAATACCTACAGATATGTGTTGTATTGTTATCTTTATTCAATTGACAATTTATAATAGTCTACTGTTGGTGTTCTATCTTGGAAAGAAAAGAGCTGGCCACACTCACTGGCCGCGTCCCTGAACTCTGTGGCTGGGCTCTGTGTCCAGGCCTTGTCCTCCTCTTGGCCGCGCCGGGCTCTGTGTCCAGGCCTTGCCCTCCTGTTGTCCTTCTCTTGGCCGCGCCCCGGAACTCTGCCAACTCTGTGGTGGCCGTGGTGCCCCTGAACTCTGTCAACTCTGTGGCTGGGCTGTGTGGCTCGGCTCTGTGGCGCGCGCGCTCTCTGACATACGCTTCAGAAAGGCGCGCTCAGAGCGCGCTCTGCACAGAGAAAGACAGAGAAAGATAAACTTAAAGAGCAAGAGAGAGAGAGAGAGAGAGAAAGAAAGCAAGAAAGAAAGAAAGCAAGAAAGAAAGAAAGAACGAAGGAAGAAAGAAAGAAAGAAAGAAAGAGAGCAGGGCGAGCGCGCGCTCGCGTGCTATGGACGGCGCGCTCACGCTCCAGAAAGGCACGCTTAGAGCGCGCTCTGCAGAGAGAAAGACAGAGAAAGAGAAACTTAAAGAGAAAGAGAGAGAGAGAGAGAAAAAAAGACAGCAGGGCGGGCTCCAGAAAGGCGCGCTCACAGCGCTCTGCAGAGAGAAAGACAGAGAAGGAGAAACTTAAAGTGAAAGAGAGAGAGAGAGAGAGGGAGAGCGAGAGAGAGAGAGAGAGAGACAGAAAGAAAGCTGGGCGAGCGCGCGCGCTCGCGTGCTATGGACGGCGTACTGGGCTCTTGTCCTCCTCTTGTCCTCTGTGCTGGGCTCTGTGGCTGGGCCTTGTCCTCTTCTTGTCCTTGTCTTGGCCGCGCCCCTGAACTCTGTGGC